GAGGAGCAGGAGGAGGAGCAGGAGGAGGAGCAGGAGCAGGAGCAGGAGGAGGAGCAGGAGCAGGAGCAGGAGCAGGAGCAGGAGCAGGAGGAGGAGGAGGAGGAGGAGGAGGAGGAGGAGGGAGGCAGGAGCAGAGAGGAGAGGAGCAGGAGGCAGGAGCAGGAGCAGGAGCAGGAGCAGGAGGAGGAGGAGGAGGAGGAGGAGGAGGAGGAGGAGAGCTAGAACGAGGACGCTGACGGCGAGAACCAGGACGAGGAGAACGACGAGGACGCCGAGAGGGGGGGCGCCGCAGGTCAGCGACTGCCTCGTCGCCACGGGCCCGGAGGTCGCCGCCGCCGCCGCCGCCGCCGGCGCCGCCGCGCGCGCCGCCGCGCAGAACGGCCAGGCCGGCACCGCCAGCAAGGCCAGGGCGGGGTGGCCGACTCCGCCTCCCAAGGCACGGCACCAGACGCCGCCGCCGGCGCAGCGCGTTGCCGTCGGCCCAGCCCTCGACGTTCGACGTCTTCGACCCCGCCCTCGCCCTCGCCCTCTTCCTCCTCCTCCTCCTCCTCCTCCTCCTCCTCCTCCTCCTCCTCGTCCTAGTTCCTCCTCCTCCTCCTCCTCCTCCTCCTCCTCGCCCTCTTCCTCCTCCTCCTCCTCCTCCTCCTCCTCCTCCTCCTCCTCCTCGTCCTCGTTCGCGTCGTCGCCGCCGCAGCCGCCGTCGGACGTCGCAGGGGCCGGCTGCGCCGCCGAGGGCCTGCACTGAGCCGCCGCCGCCGCCGTCGCCGCCGCCTTCGCTGCCGTCGCCTGCCGTCGTCATCGTCCCCCCTGCTCGTCAGGAGGTGGAGGAGGAGGGAGTGGAGGAGGAGGGCGGAGGGAAGAGGAGGGAGGAGGAGGGGGAGGGAGATGGAGGAGAAGGTGCGAGGAGGAGGGAGAGAGGTTGAGGAGGACAGCACAGAACGGAAAACTATGCGAGCCAAAGGTCGTCGTCTAGCTGGGAAGAGATGGGTAGGACGGCCTTCACAGGCCGACAACGCGACGTTGCCTGGGGAAAAGAGGAGGGCGACAGCGAGGAAGACAGGGAAGCGACAGATGATGATGCTGGTGGTGGTGCTGCTGCTGCTGCTGATGATGATGATGATGATGATGATGATGCTGATGCTGATGCTGATGCTGATGCTGATGCTGATTATGATGCTGAGTATGATGATGTTGATGCTAATGATTATGCTGTTAATGATGATGCAGGGGAATGATAAGTCTAAAATACTATGCTGGTGATGGCGATGATGATGACGACGATGTTGATGCTGATGCTGATGAGCATGATCATGATCATGATGATAATGGTGGTGATGATGACGACGACGATTAACTATGCTGATGATGATACTGATGTTGATGTTGATGACGATGATGATGATGCTGGTGATGATGATGCTGATGCTGCTGCTGATGATGATGGTGATGATGATGCTAATAATGATGCTGGTGATGGGGATGGTGATGGTGATGGTGATGATGATGGTGATGGTGATGGTGGCGGTGATGGTGATGGTGATGGTGATCTTGATGGTGATGGTGGGGATGGTGATGGTGATGGTGATGGCGATGGTGATGGTGATGGTGATGATGATGATGATGATGTTGATGGTGGTGAGGAGGCGGAACAGGAGCAAGAGCAGGAGGAGCAGGGGCAGGAGGAGGGACAGGAGGAAGTAACGCGAAGGGAGGGGGCCAGGCAGGACGGATGATGAGGTTTCATGGGCTGTAACATCTGTAGCAGGGGCGCATGTGGTTTGCAGTGCGCCGCGCGGAAGCCAATGCCACGGCAGCGCAGATGCAGTCTTGACTGCGGATCGCGCGTGGTCTCAGGACACGCGGTGCCCACAGCATAGTGATGTTCACGCGTCCCGCGGTGCCTCGCGGGTCCTGGAGTTCGAGCGCATCCGCTGCGGATCTCGTAATATGCCATGTGGAGGCATGGCCGTTCTCACATGCAGCGTGGTGTGTGCAGGCGCGGTGGCGTTCACAAGCGTCTCGGGCGTCCACCGGCTTGGGTGTACTGGCAGGCATCGTGGTTCTCACAATCGTTGCGGTGATCATCGGTACTGGTCGGCATTGGTAGTCAAATGCACTGTCGTGCCCGCATGCATGTAGGTGCTCGCAGATTCTGTTGCGCGCGTAACGAGTATGGTGGTGCTCGTAGGCCCTGTGGTGCCCACAAGGACTTCGGGTGATAAGGGGCGCTGCGCTGCCCATCCACACCAAGCACGCCCCCTTTGATGCTGAGCCACCATGTGTGTTATCGTGCAGCGTTGCTGTTCGGCGACTCGTTCCACTGTGAATTGTTTTCTTCTACAGATGGGTCCGTCGTTGCTGTTGCTGTTATCCCCGTCTCGTCGTGATCGGTTCTACGACACTAAGTCTCTGCTTGTCTGTATCCTCGGCCTCACAAGCGGCTCCAAGCCTGTCCCAGAGCTCGTCCTGGCCCCAGGGGGCCCAAAGCTGCAGAACGCATCCTAATTCCGTCTGCGCCCCAAACACCTCCACAGAAGGCGGCTATACACCATCACCATCCCTGGCCAGGGCCACCCTGCAGAGTCTGTTCAAGTGGCTTGCGCCATTCTGGCGACCCCAGATCAGAAACGAAGTCCATGGGTGAGTCCTTTTGCGTCTCGGGAATCGTTTGAGGGCCCCATAGGGGCATCTTTTGGTCTTCTTGGGCGCCTCTTACGTAGAGCCTCTTGGGGGTCTGGTGGGCGCCGGATGGCGGTCTCGGGTGCCCTCTTTGGGCGGATGCCCCGAAATGGAAGTTCGAATTCTCCATCTTTGGCCCCTCTTGAGGCTCTTTTGGGGCTCTCCCGGGCCGTCTTGGGCGCCTCAGGGGCCGTTCTGGGGCTCTCTCTTGGCCCGTCCTGGAGCGATCCTTGGGGGCCTCTTCTTCGATCTACGAGATCCGAATCGACATCAGTTTTGTCAGGAGGGGAAAAAACACACAGACACAATTGATCCTCGACTCCCCAGAAAATATAGGAAAATATGGGAAGTGGGGGAAAGACAAAAACCCAGAACATATGGGAAAATATGGGGAATAATTCTATTTGTGTGCATTTATTTGTGTGTCCCAGGGCCCCTTCAGTATGGCGCCGTTGCTTTCCTGGCGCAGCCGGTGCGATCTGTGCCGATGCAGCCCGATCCGACGCGCAGTCCGAGTCGAGCCGATGTCGGCTCGATGCTGACTGGTCCTGCCCTGGGGTCGAGGAGGGAGATGGAGGAGGAGGAAGAGGAGGAGGAGGAGGAGGAGGAGGAGATGGAGGAGGAGGAGGGGGAGGAGGAGGAGGAGGAGGAGGAGGAGGAGGAGGAGGAGATGGAGGAGGAGGAGGAGGAGGGAGGAGGAGGAGGAGGAGGAGGGGGAGGAGGAGGAGGAGGGGCTTGCCCCTGCCTTGGGCACAAGGGGTGTGTGTAGATCCGCCCGATCGGTGCCAGGAGGTTGCATACACCCTCCCTGGGCCCAGGACGACCTTTGGTCCGGGAGTATGTAGTGGTGTAGCGTTAAGTCGGGCCTGTCCCCCTACAAGGGGATTTTCGACGAAGAATTCAAAATACCTCAAAAAATAATCCATATATATATATATAGCGAAAATAGTCTGGGGATTATTTTTTGAGTCTTTTTCGACCTTGTTGGGGCATTTCTGGGGTAATTCTTGTTTTTCGTCGAAAATCCTCCTGTGGGGGGGACACGCCCGACAGAAGTGTAGCGCTGCCTTTTCCGACCGCCCCTCCCTTGCGTCACACCTACGCGGTGGCAGCGCGCCGCGCGGACGCGGCGGCGCCCCCAGCGCGGGCGCTCCATAGGTTGAGCGCGGCCGGCGGGCTGGCATCGGGGGAGATCCCACGATCCGCGCCGTCGGACAGCGCCGCGGCCGGTCGGGGCCGAAGGATCCGCGCGGCGTGCGAGTCGTCCCACGCCGACGACCCAGCCCCCCTCGAGTAATGAAAAAATCATGACGGGATAGTTTTGCTAATTTTCGGCCTCCAGGGGTCCTCACCGGGCCTCGGGAGCGTCAAAAAACGACTCAGGATGCAAATCCGGTCATGGGGAAAGGGTCCAGACCTCCGGGGGTGGGCGTGATCAAAAAATCATGACGTCGGGGGTCTGGGCACGCCGACGACGTCGCGGCACGAATTTTCCTTGCCATACTCCCAGGCAGCCCGTGCTGCTGTGGCTCCTCCGCGCCCACCCGGCCCCCCCGGAAGGCCCGCCCCGCTCCCCATGGGGCCGGTGCTTCGTCCCGAGCCATGCTCCGACGGCGCCAGGGCCCGGCGAGGGCCCCCGGTGGCCGAGAAGAGCCCCAATCGACTAGGCGTAAGAGGGACCCTTCGCCGGAGTGGCCTTTGGTGCGCGCTCACCGGGGTCCTCTGATCGCCGCGCTCGGTGCGATGGCAGTTTCTCGTGCGCGCCTGTGCTTGGCCTCCTCGCGCCCCCCAAAAGGCCGCGCACCAGAGGTCACTCTTGCCCAGGGTCACTCCTGCGTGCAGCCGACCCAGACCCCCGACGTAATGATTTTTTCATGACGTCGACCCCCAGAGGTCTGGACCCTTCCCCCACGACCGGCTTTGCACCCTGAGTCGTTTTTTGACGCTCCCGAGGCCCGGTGAGGGCCCCCGGAGGCCGAAAATTAGGAAAAACATTCCGTCATGATTTTTTCATTACTCGAGGGGGTCTGGGGACCCAGGAGCCTCCCGGCGCGTGTGACTGTGCTCACGGCGCGCGCACGTGCTGCGGAGCCGTCGCGGCCGAAGCCGCCGTGCGGGACGGCCCGAGGGCGCCCCCCCTCGAAGGCGCCGGAGCCGGCGCAGGGCGCCGCCGGGCTGGCCTCGAAGAGACCACGGCCCCCGCCGGACGCGGGCGGCGCGGGCGAGGCCGATCTCGAGGCCAAGAGAGCGCGGCCGGGCGAGAAGGAGCCGAGGCTCAAGCAGCGGCGGGGCGTCCCGGCTTGCCCCCAGGTCCACCAGTGGAGGGTTTCTCCGAGGGGCTCAGGCGGCGCCTCCTCCTCCTCCTCCTCCTCCTCCTCCTCCTCCTCCTCCTCCTCCTCCTCCTCCTCCTCCTCCTCTCTCTTCCTCCTCCTCCTCATCCTCCTCCCTCCCTCCCTCCCTCCTTCCCTCCCTCCCTCCATCTCCTCCTCCTCCATCTCTCTCCCTCCATTCCATCTCCTCCCCCCCCTGCCCCGCCACACCTCCTCCTCCTCCTCCTCCTCCTCCTCCTCCTCCTCCTCGGGTCGCCTGCGGCCCCGGGGGAAACCGTGCATCCTGTCTTGCCCGCAGACCCACCAAAGGATGTTCTGAGAACATTTCTGACGGATGCCGTCTTGTTCAGACACATGGGCATTATGTTACAAGAGCATCGTTTTGTTATATGAAAGCATTCTCTCGTTCCAAGAAGAGGTCACAGTGGGCCTATCGGACTGCCGGGACGGTTTGTCCCTGCTCAAATCGCGGCGGCGCCAAGGCGTGCGCTCTAGATTGGGCCTCGCCCCTTGTCGGCGCATCTCGCTTTCGGCGGACCCCGAGCTCGGGGCGATGCACGTCGTTTACACGGGCGTTTGGGCCTTGACTAGCTCGGGTCGATCCGGCTTCGGGCGTGCCGCAGAAAGGTGGGGTCTGGGGCTTTGGATCCGGCGTCGAAGTTTAATCAAATCGTTACCAGCCTCGAACTGATCCCTATTCCTGAGATTGACACGCCAAAAGGCGATGACAATCTTGGGGATGCGCTCTCAAACATAAGGGAATCCCTGAGATTGGCATCGTGATGAAGAGATGCCCAGCATATGGATAGGGATACAGTCGGGGCGCTGAAGAAGGAACCCTTCTCGTTGGGGAGGGGCTCCGTGTTCCTTGAGATTGCCTTACAGTTTTCCTCCGGCTTTCCAGAGGTTTTCCATGGGAAATCGAAGTTTAACTGGAGGGAGAAAGAGGCCTCGTTCCTTATTTCGGGACCCTTAGGTCAACGCCCCGACTGTGTGTTCCAGGCCGGCAAATTCGGGAAAGGTGGCCGACGCAAAGGGCGCCGACCTTTTGAGAGGCGGGTCCGTCGGCCGAGCTGGCGGCACGCCGGGCGGGGCGCTCCAGGGCGGGCCTCGCCTCCCCACATCCCTCCTTCCGTCGTGGAGCAGTCCGCCTGAGGGGAGGAGGAGGAGGAGGAAGAGGAGGAAGAGGAGGAGCAGGAGGAGGAGGAGGAGGAGGAGGAGGAGGAGGAGGAGGAGGAGGAGGAGGAGGAGCAGGAGAAGCAGGAGGAGCAGGAGGAGCAGGAGGAGGCAGGGGTGGATGAGAGGGAGGCGGAGAACAAGGAGGAGTGCCTCCAGGACTCTCCAGCGGATGTGCGCGCACTCACTGGGAGGGGAAGTTTGCGGCCGTTTTTGGTCAGCGGGGGCCCCAGTCCGTCAGTCAGGGTGTCGAAACGATAATTGGTTTCCACTTTTGGAGGAGGGTTCTAAAGACCCATGCGGGCCAAGCAACGCAAGAAACATACCCAGGCAGGAAAAGTTCATACAGTCGGGTATCTGGCGCGCCACCGCGAGGAGGATGCGAAGGCCAAGCGGTCCTCCCGGGCCGCGCAGCTGGCCGCCCGGCTGGCCCAGCTGGAGCAGAAGGCCGCCGCGCTGCAGGAGATGTCCAAGAAGCGGGCGGAGGAGACCGAGGGGAGGGGGCAGTCCCCAGTGGCCACCCCGGCCCCCACAATCCGCGCTTGCCGGGCCACCTCGGGCAGTGCTCAGGAGAATCACCGAGCGCGTTCCACTACTCACAAGGTGCCTACAGTCGGGGCCCTGAAGAAGGAACCCTTTTGGTTGGGGAGGGGCTCCGCGTTCCTTAAGTGTTTCACAGCTTGCCTCAGGTTTTCCGTATGTTTTCGATCGGCAATCGAAGTTTAATTTATGGAAAAAGGGGCCTCGTTCCTTATTTAGGGTTCCTTAGGTCAACGCCCCGACTGCACTCGCAAGCGTCCGAAAAACACAGATCTGCTTTCAGGTAGTGTATCGCGGATCCTCCGCGGGGGGCTCCAGGCCATTTGCGAGCAGCTACTTCTGCGAGCAGTGCAACGCGCTCGTCAAGAGGAGCTCGGTCGCCACGCCCGCCGCCAGGCTCCGTCCACCGCGCACGTGCCTGCTCGAGTCCTGGGCGCGGCACCCTCCAGGGCAGGCGCTGTCCATCGAAAGGCAGGGCGTGGAGGCTCGCCAATCGCACGAGACGCGTCTGATTTTTCCTGGACGGTCGTTTGCCGCGGGAGGTGGTCGGACAGTGCCACCGATGGGTCGCCACGAAGGGGTCTCCAGTGCTGCTGTTTGCGCTATCCCTTCAAACACATCATGTTCAGTCGGCGTAGAGGCCGCAGGGTAATCCGCAGCTTCCGCCGCTACTTGTTTTACCTGTTTTCCTCTCCTCCTCCTCCTCCTCCTCCTCCTCCTCCTCCTCCTCCTCCTCCTCCCTGATTGTGGTGACGCCTACCCGACTGGCCTTTCAGAATTCTGCGCCGCCGCTTTCGCGCTTGAGGATGGTACGTGCCCGCGGGTGTGTGCTTCGCGGGATGTGCTGATAGCCCCCATGAGGGGAAGCGGATTTGCGCAGCGTGAAAAAAAAGTTCCTGCAGGACACCTGAGTATGTGGACGTTTGGGGGGCACACATGGTTCATTGCTAATTCTTCGAGAGTTCTTCGATTTGTTTGGGGGGCCAAGGTCCTTTCGTTTCTGATGGCTCTATCCTGGGCCTCTTCCTGGCCACTAGGGGGCCAGGAACACTTAGAACCGAGCACACTTAGAAATGAGCACGACTAGAAAGGACCGACGTGCAGTGTTGGAAGGCTCTTGAGCATTCTGGGGGGCCAACGTCCTTGAGGACACGGCGCTGCTCGAGGAAGTGGCGCCCCCCCTTGTGGCGACCCCCCCTCGGCGTCAGCCGCGCGGCCCTGTGCGCCCAAGCGCCTGCGAGTCGGCCCCGTCCTGCCCGATTCCTTTTGCAGGGTGCGTCTGCCAGAGGGGCCTCGTTCCCATAATGCCCCCTCGGGTCGCGAAAAAAACATGCGGCGCGACCTCTGTAATTTTTTCAGCCTCCTGGCGGCAGGAGCGGGAGAAGCAGCTCGCGGACGCGCAAGAGGAGGAGGCCGAACGGGAGGAGCCGGAGGACGCGCAGCAGGGGCCGGAGGAGGACGAGGACGACGGCATGGGCATAAACGCTCAGCAGCGTGCCATCGCCGACCCGTCGTTCCCCTTCCGAAAGGTGTGCTACCTGATGCGAGGCCCTCCGGGCTGTGGGAAGAGCACCACGGCCCGCAAGTTGCTGCAGTATCACCTCAAGCTGCAGGGGGTGAAGTGGACGCCGGGCCCCGATGCGCCTTACTCTCCACTGTGTCGCGCCTTCGTCCTCTCGACGGATGACTTCTTCACTTTCGTGGACGATCAGGGCGAAGCGGAGTACAGGTTCGATCCGAAGAAGCTCAAGGAGTTCCATCCTAAGAACCAGGCGCGTTTCGAGAATTGCTGCGAGCTGGGGAGAACACCGCTCTTCGTGGACAACACGAACATTGCTTTGTGGGAGATGAAGGACTACCTCCTCTCGGCCGAGAAGTACGGCTATGAGGTAGAGGTGGTTGACCCCAGGGAGTTCGGGGAGGACGCGCTCAACCCCGACGTGTTGGACCAGCGGTGTCAGGCAGGTGCTGGCGCGGACCGCGCCGCTGGCAAGACGATTCCGTACGCGGTGCTAGACCGCATGTGCAGGAACCTCGAGGAACTGCCCGAGCCCGCCAACTGCCCGACGGGCCCCGAGGCCTTGGAGGCCATCAGGAACTCGAGCAATCCCTTCGGCGACAAGGGCGGGGGCAAGGGCGGTGGCAAGGGCGGATTCGGCGGCGGCAAAGGCGGCGGCTTCCAGCCGCCGATGATGCAGAAGGGCGGGTTCCACCAGCCCCCTCCCTGGGCGGGCTCCGTCGGCTCCGAGATCCGGCCCAAGCAGCAAGCCTACGTGCCGCCCCAGGTGAGCGACGCAATGAAGGGGGTCGTCTGCGCCGACACTGGCGCGCAAGCTGCCCGCGCGAGGTCGCGCGCAAGCGCCTTCGTTTCAAGTGCGGAGTGCCGCGCTGGCGGCCCGCGTGATGAGCCGCCGCGTCAGGTCGCTGCGTCATCTCACCAGGCAGGGCCCACTTCGATGCCGCCGATTCGCTCCGATTCGATTCGATTTCGATGGCTGCCGATTCCGATTCCGATGCGATCTCGGCTTCCGATCTGGGATCCCGACTTCTCGCTGGAGGCCTGCCGGCTTGCCGCTGCCCGCCGCCTCGCCCTCTCCCGGCTCTCTGCCTGCCGCTCTCCGCCGAGGTCCGAGTTCCTTCGGTCGCCGACCCGGACTCCGGATCCGCCCTACTTTTTGGGGAAATTCGTCAGTAGGGCTTGGAAGTTCCGCAGGCCCCGCCGATGCCAATTTCCGCCCTACTTTTCTGCTGCTGCTTCCGCCCTGCTTCTGTGGATTTCCGCCCCACTTTCTGCTGGGTGCAGAAGTTCCCGCCCTACTTGTTCGGCTTCTCATGGGTGGATTTCCGACGCAGTTTCAAGTTGGAAAAACAGCCAAAGTAGGGCGGATCTGGAGTCAGGGGGCCCGACCTGCCGATCCGATCCTGGGCTCTTCGCGCCAGCCTCGGGCGCCCTGCCCCGCCCGGCGCCCTGCTCCGCGGGGCCGCGCCCCCCCTCCCCCCCCCCCCCCCTGGGGGGCGCCCGCCGCGCCCAGTCAGGGGCGGCCTCGAGCTGGAAGGCGCGCTGGCCTCCCTCCTCCTCCTCCTCCTCCTCCTCCTCCTCCTCCGCCTCCTCCTCCTCCCCTCGCTCCTCCTCCCTCCTCCTCTCCTCCTCCTCCTCCTCCTCCTTCCTCCTCCTCCTCTCCTCCTCCTCCTCCTCCTCCTCCTCCTTCCTCCTCCTCCTCCTCCCTCCTCCCCTCCCTCCCCTCCTCCTCCTCCTCCTCCTCCTCCTCCTCCTCCTCCTCCTCCTCACCGCTCCTCCCTTCCCCCTCCTCCTCCTCCTCCCTCCTCCCTCCTCCTCCTCCTCCTCCTCCCTCCCCTCCTCCATCCTCCCTCCTCCTCCGCCTCCCTCCTCCTCCTCCTCCTCCCTCCTCCCTCCTCCTCCTCCCTCCTCCTCCCTCCTTCCCCCTCCTCCTCCTCCTCCCTCCTCCTCCGCCTCCTCCCCTCCTCCCTCCTCCCCTCCTCCTCCTCCTCCCTCCCTCCTCCTCCCTCCTCCTCCCTCCTGCCGACCCGACCGCCCCCAAGGTGGTGGCCCGCCCCCCGCGCCCGCCGCCCGAGCCCGCGGCGCCCGCGGCCCCCGTCACGCTGCCGAAGCAGCGCATGAAGTGCACGCCGCCCCAGCCGCCCGCCGCCCTGCAGCAGCCCCCGGAGCCCGAGGCCCCGCGGGGGGCGCGGCGCGCCGGCTCCGACGCTTAGATGGGTGCGGATTCTACAAAACACAGGGCCCTGACTCCGGATCCGCCCTACTTTGGGGAAATTCGTAAGTGGGGCTTGGAATTTCCGCCTTTATTTTTCAGGCCCCGCTGATGCCAGTTTCCGCCCTACTTTTCTGTTGCTGTTTCCGCTCTACTTCCGTGGATTTCCGCCCTAGTTTGTGTTGGGTCGTGCAGAATTTCCGCCCTACTTTTTCGGCTTCTTATAGGTGGATTTCCAACGCAATTTTAAGTTGGAAGAAAGCCAAAGTAGGGCGGATCTGGAGTCAGGGGGGGGCTATGGGGCACTATCACTATCGGCATTCCTATAAAACCTATGAGGCCTCCTAACCAGTCCTGACTCATCCAAACCTCTCCTAAAATAGAACCACTTACCTAACCTATAACTACTTATAAGGCCGCACCCATCTAAGCGGCCCGCGCGCGCGGGCCCTGGCTAAGATTCAGTCGGGCGTGTCCCCCCTACAGGGGGGCTTTCGACGAGAGATATCGGGGGGGGGGGGACAGAACCCCCAACAGTGGCACGTCGACT